ATATTAAGTGTTGATATTTGTAAGAACCAAGAACTCGTGACAATTAAAATTTCTATATATTAATTGATATTTTATCTCATTTAATGTGAAACAAATATTATATTTAATTTGTATTATATTCAAACATTAGAAGCATGTTGGATGAATGATTATGTCATTTGATTTCAAACCAATATGGTGGTATCATAAAAACTGAACCGCAAAAAACGAAAAGACAAAAAAAATAAAAAAATCCAAAAAATAAAATAAAACAAAAAAAACTGCAAAAAAAACGAACCGCAAAAAACCGAAAAAAAACCGCAAAAACCGAACCGCATAAAAACCGAACGGTGCGGTTTCTAAACTTCAAAAAACCGAAGTTGCGGTTTTCGGCTCGGTTTTAGGCAAAAACCGTACCGAACCGCACCATGGTCACCACTACTAAAAACATTGAAAATAGTTTGATGGTTATATTAATGGGTTATTTTCCAACGTACTAACTCTTTTTTTCTTTATATTAACAGAATAATAAATTCAAATTAATATGATAAAATATAACTACTTATATTGAACCCCTTGCATTGATTTAGTGCAACCTCTTTCATAAGAATTTATGGATTCTCTTGTTTTCTTACAATATCTCGAGAATACACAAAGTAACAAAGTTTCTCTTTTAATGAAGAAACAAATCCTATCTAGTAATATGAGAAATAAATGAATCTATCTCCATGTGTGTTACTCCGCCTTTTTCTACCGAGCGCCTAACATCATCACCAAGTTTAGCAGCTCTCTTCCTCATGGCATCTCCCTCATCAGAAGCCATCAATTTCCGAATACTTGTTTCAATAGTTGAAGATGTTACTAACTCACCACGACGCTCCCAATCCCTTACACTTATGCCAGTCTTTAGCACCTCTGTTACTAGCGTAGCGTTTCTTGGTTGATCTGAATGCATTGGCCATGCAGCTATAGGAACTCCCATGGTGATGCTCTCCATACTCGAATTCCAACCACAGTGACTCATAAATCCGCCTGTTGCAGGGTGAGCTAGTATCTCTAACTGTGGTGCCCATTCTCTCACCACCAATCCTTGTTCTCCAAGTCTCTCTTCAAACCCTTTTGGCAATTCAACTCTCCTAACTTCGCCATCGAAGATATCTCCTTTATCAGCATCTCGTAGAACCCAAATAAACTTATGTTGACTATTCTCTAATCCATTAGCAAGTTCTCGGATCTCGTCATCGGATAATGAAGTTGTTGTGCCAAATGCAACATATATCACCGAGTCTTTAGCTTGTTTGTCAAGCCATTCTAGCGATATGTGACGTTTCCCAAGGTTTTCTTTATCGCTTATGGCCACTGGATTAAAAGGCCCCATAGCCCATTGCTTTGTACTTCCAGACAATCCTTCTTTCGCAAGATAGTCAATGAATTGCCTATCGAAAACGTTGCATGTGTCATGAAGATTACCCGAATTAAACGTATTGCAGACTTGATGACTCATCATGGATTCTATAAAGTCTGCTGGTATAGATCCTTCAAAAGCAGGGACCTTTGTAAGTTGTTTATAGGATTCATCATCATCATCTAAACATGGTTTTCCTTTCCCTTCCCAAAGGTACGAGAACGTGGTAAAAGCTGAAGCACAATGGAAGACATAAGCTTCTGCGTTTTCATATGAAACCACATCTTGAACGACTGTGCTCATTAGATAGTCATGAACGATGATAACTCGCCTGGTTGTCGGAGCAATATCAGCCAATAGTTTTGCAAAAGGTTCACGAAGAGTAGATGGTAGATGAAACGATGGAAGAAGGTGTGAAGGGAATTTGTCGGAAGCATTAGGGTCCGGAGTAGGGGATTCGAAATTGGGTGTCTCAAACTCATGGAAATGGATATTAATGGCGGAGGTGGGATCCCAACCATGGATACGAAGCTTTGCTTGGCGGTTGTGGGTGGTGGTGCCGACAATATGGATCGGTAGATTATAAGAGGAAAGGAGACGGGACAGGTGGAGGAGTTGGTTGAGATGACCTTGTGCTACAAATGGTACCACTAACACCACCACTTCTTTCGTTTCCATGTTAAATATAATTAGGTTATCAACTTTGTGTGAATCGTTTTTGTGATTGTTGCATATTTATAAATGAATGTGTAATGTTTTTTTTTTTTTCGAATGAACTTGTGACAAAAGTTTGCCGTCTTAGTTTCATGATGTCTTCTAGATTCAATAACATTACAAATGATACTTGACAAGAAAATAATTTTACCTTAAAAAATATTATTAATTTGAACGTTGGTGTCTAGGGAAAATCAAATTGGCGTTTGCCTTGTGTCTATCAACTTTCCGTGAGTAAGACATTTTTGTCTTGAAACTTGATAAAAACAAAAGTACTTTGTTAATTTATATAATAAAGTATATTGTTTAAAATAAAAAATTAATATAGATCAGACATATTATTATTTTATATGTATATATATATAGCCTTTTCTTTTACGCAATGGATGATATATTTAAAAAAAGAAAATACACACAAAGGCTTAATAAATTAATAAATTAAATCGCCCAAGAAAGATACATGTGCAATACACAACAGATAAACATAAAGTATGTATATACATATTAACATATACATAAAGCTGAGAGCCAATGGGATTTGAAATCACTAGGAATATGTTTGATACAAGTTTTCTACCATCTTGTGATTCGATGCCAGTTGGCCTATGCTTTTAGTCCTAGACGCAACAAAGTATGTATTTGAAACAAAACAAAAATGCATACCAACAAACATTCGTTGTTTTCCAACTAGGATTGATGGACATGTATGTATATAAACTTATAAATATTTACATACGAAACAATATAAATGATATACACATTCACACAGATATATACCCATACATACACAAACATGTATATATATGTACATATTAACATATACATGCATATATATATATGTATATTGTCAGAACCGATTTAAATTATAATGGCATATCTCCCATCTCTTAAAACTTTCATATCTCGACATGATTTTTATTGTGTTTTGTATAAGTTGTCTTGTTAATATGCTACTATGCTTCTACAAATTAAAAACTAATAAGAATCTAAAAAAGGAAAGGAAATAAATTACACCAATGGTCTGCATGTGTTTGGTTCGTAATTTTTTTTTAGCTCGACGGTCCTTCAAACTTTAATTTATTGCATATTTTGTCCCTGCATACATAAAAAAATAAAAAAAAAATAAAAAAAAAAAAAAAAAAAACTATTTTGTCCTTACTCAATGAGTTTTAAATTTTTAATTATTTATTTATATCTTTTCTTTGAGGTTTCAAGACTTTCAAAAGGGTAGAGTGGGGATAAAAAGGATTGTGAGGAGGGAGGGTATTTCTTTATTTAAATTTTTTTTCTAATAAGATAATATTAATAAAAAAAAATAAAAAATGTTATAAGGACATGACAGTTGACAAAGGAGTAAAGTCGCTAAACCATAAACAAAACAAAAGAGCGACTAACTTAGAAAAGGGGTTAGAAACCAAAGAAACAAGATATCCCAAATCATAAGGACCATGCGTGTAATTTACTCAAAAAAAATAAAATTGAAAACCTATTCACTATACTTTTAAGATTTTCACCTACAATATACATTGATGTACTAATTTTGTTTTTGCAAGATTTGTAGTTTACATTGATTTTCTATAAAAGTACAACCCTAAAAATTTAAAAGTATAGTCACAGAACAAAAGATGGTGTACAACAACTTGCACATTTTTTCAAATAAGAATGTCTTGAACAATAAACTAATCCACTATTGAATCGGTACATGAGGGAAATTCTTGTTTGAAAAAAAAAAAAAAAAAAAAAATGAAGGCTTTGAAACTGGTGGAAAACAAGAGCAAGATCAAGGGCTACAAAGGTTCTTGAGATCTTCTTCCTGGGCATACCAACTTGGTATTATTTTGACCAAATGAGGATAAAGATCCTTGTATGAGTTTCTGATTGTCCCTTCTGCAACTCCAGTTGCAAGTGCCACATCTGCATATCATTCAAATGTTAATAATCTCAAGTAATATATATCTCTTTTTATATATCAACTCAAAAGAGTGGAATTTTTACCTTTGAGTGGTTTCTTATCATCAGAAAGTTGAGTTACTATGTAAATAACAGCTGCAGCAATAGAGATTGGACTTCTCCTGAAAAACATTTTAGATTTTAACCACTATTTTCAATGACTTGATCAAAAAGATTGAAACTTAAATCACCAATGAGTAAAAACCAAAATATAGATATTTTTCCAAATTACCTTATATCAAACTCCTCTGACTTTTGGACAGATTCTTGTGCAGCTTTAACAGTCTGATTTGTCATACCAAGATTGGAACAAAAACGCCTCTGAATGCAAATAAAACACAAGAACCCAAACAAGTTAGAAACTTTAAAGAATAAAAGAATATGATAACCTCTGAATGAAACCCTACCTAATTCTCTTAACCATTAAGAAACTTAGAATCATTCAGCACCAAATGGTCCAGTTTTATATATTAAAAGAAAAAGAAACTGACCATAAAGTCACCAGCATGTATAGTCCCCATCTCTACAGATTGACCCATTTCAAGCTCAAGTTGTTTGACAATGTATTCTTTTGCACGACCAATTTCCTTCTTTGTTGCTCCATTAGCAACCGAACAGATTTCTATTTTGAACAAATGTTCAGAGAAATCTCATTCATATACACAGAGACACATGAAGCATCCAATTTTTTTTTAAGAAAAAAAAAAAACAAAAGGTTTGTAATACCCTTTACAGTTCGTGGCTTATCTTCTTGACGACATGCAATGTAAAGACAAGCAGCCAAGATTGCATCTTGGTTTCTTCCTCTACTCGATTTTTGATCTTCTACTTTCTTGAATATCTCATTAGCTCGATCCTATTTACATAAAACCAACAAGAATTCTATGAAAAAAATAAAAGGGTATGAAAGATTGTAATGACTAATAACTAATAACCCCTCCCACATGGATAGAATCATAGAAAGTAGGAAGTAAGTGATACAGAGGTTATATATTGTCATGGATAGCAATAGCATACCTTAATTGTTGCAACAAGGCCCAACCTGAATGACAAATGAAATGCATTAGATACTATAAAGAGCTAAAAATGGAATTGCCATCGGTATATGTAAGAATGAGATATGTATGAACCTCATATTTTGGCAAAATTATTTATGCAGAAAAATGAAATTCATATTTTGGTAAGATGATTGTTCAAGTTAAGAAATTGAATATGCCAAAATGAAACAAGGTGTTTGAATTTTGAACCAAAGTTACTTGTTTATAATCTAGTCTTGAAAGAGCACAATCAGTTTAGAAATTTTATGCCCATTAAACAAGTAAGAAGCTTTCATAGGTTAGATGTTTCTTGAATAGTTATTAGTCCATGTGCTCCATGACAATTGCAAACATTTCCATTTTTGAATGTCCTAAGAAAATGGCAAAATTCCCTTTCAGTCATTTTTAAGGTATAATACAAATTTTGCCTATAGTCATCAATCAAAGTTGTATTGTTAAATTTTGGTCCATAGTTTCCATTGGCTACTCATATAGAAACCCTATACCTTCAACATATAAATCAAACAATGTTCAAACATCAAAGCTAAGGTAGTATAACAAAAAGGTTTCATCTTGCCCTAGCATCTCTGGATCCTGATGGAGTTTCAAAATATAAATTACCAAAATTTCAATAACCTCGGGACTAAACAGAACCCTAAATAATCACAATTTCAAGCAGACGTATACAGATAAAAGTACTGTAAGAATCACACCTGTCAGACATCGTTGCGATTGTTTTAAACGCCATGATTAGAGACCGATCCGGATTCGACCCTCGGTTCTGCCATCGTCCCAAAGACGATGACAGGAAATCGCTGGTGACGCCATTAGGTTTGGAAATCACGGTTGACAAGCCGCCGTCGTTGAGAAGGACATTGGTAGGGCCACCGACACGGACAGGATCGTTATCCCCTGACTCGTTGGCGAAGGTACGCCACTCGGACGTCTCGTCGATGGAATGGGACTCAAGGACGAGTCCACACTCGGAACAGACGGTGTCTCCGGCGGAGTGGTCGAACACGACCTCGGTGCTCTTTCTGCAGTCGGAGCAGTACGCATCTGCCATGTCTTTAGGATTTAATTTATCTTTTTTGCACAAATTTATGTAATTATCTCTGAGGTTGATGTGGGAATTTGGAGATTTGGTGGATAAAAGTTCAGATCATATGATTTCTTTAGAGTTTGCAATCTGACATTGGTGGGGAGCCGCCGAAGGTGAAGTAACGGAGAAAACTCGAAAGGGCAAAGATTGCCTCTCTGGGGATTTTCTTAGGCGGTGGTTTTTACGATATTAATTGCTTTATTAATAATAATTTCCTCACTAAATTATCTGAAATATCTTATTTTTATTATTAGATCTTTTTTCACTTGATTCGTACGTTTAAAAATCTCAATTAGGTTCTATTTTTTCTTTTATCAATATAAACTACTTTTCATTTGTTTATCCACTTAGGTTTTTTAATTTTTACTACACTACTATCTATTTTCATAAAGAGCTCGTACATAACTTTCTTTTGTTGACACTTAGTTCATGTCACGATGTTGCTTCTTTTGACTAGTTGATACCGTGTGTCATTTAACATATTTCCGGTTAAGTCATGCTAACTTTGTTTATTTGGATTAACTAATAAGTAAGCAAGATATTAAAGCTATAAGGCTTTGATATGGAAACACGTATGTATATTACTTCTAACTCTCAAGTATACAAACCATTTCTCGGTGGTTTGGATCAAATGACTACACCCTTATTTATAGGGACTTTACACCTCCTTTTGGGAAGATTCTAGATCTCGTATATTCTTAACTACTCTAGATTGTTATATCAATGTCTATATGACTATATCAAGACTATTATAGATTCTTCCATCTAGTTTTATACTTATTTACAAGGCTTGGTAATGTTTTAGACTTTTCTCTAATATCCTAGAGAAGTCTAGGATGTTCTCGGGGCTTCTATCATTTTCTAAGATGTTTCATACCATTCCATAGACTTCCATGATATTTTAGCATCTTCAAGAATCTTCTAGCATGTTCCATATTTTTTTCACAGTCTTATCAGATATTCTTGAACGTTCAAGAGCTATCTAAAGGGTTTTAGAAACTTCCATAAAGTTGGTATGTGACACCCTCCCACATACAAACCCTTAACATCCTTCATAAGTCTTCAACACGTATATATTGATCATGTCATGTCATGGGACTACCCTAAGTCTTTTCCTCTCTCTAAAATGTTTCTTTGAGTATGACGTGTTTTAGTATCTTAACTTTTTTGTCGTGGATCTTCTCCCAGCCTCGTAGAATATCAGGAAATCTTCAAGTGGGATCGTGATCTAGACTTACACCAACATTTCTCATTGCCTTGAACGTCCTTATTTGGCCCCCCATACCTCCTGATTTGATCATCGTTACCACGTGTTGCTTGTGTATTATCTTCATTCTTATGACTTAGTGTATTCTTCTTATTTATCTTCACAAGCTTTTTGTAACGTCCCGATTTTTCCGAATAAACTTTTTCATTTTTAAAATAGAATAAACACTCATTTTCATAAAGATACAGTCAAGGCAAAAACCATTGTTTCATAAGCTATAATTCAAAATCAGAGTTATAAGGAAAGCAATGTGGAATCTCGAATCATAAAACTGCTAATGTGTGTGTACAATCATGTATTTGCATTCCCACAAATTGATAAAGTACCTGAAAAAAAATTAATCAGCAATTGTAAGCCAAAGCTTAGTAATTTTCCCAAAATACCCCACACAACAATACATATACAATGCATGCACACAATGGCCTTCAGCGCAAGGCTGGTCCGCCCCTTTGGCCTACAGCATCAAGTTGGTCCACCCCATTTGGCCTACAGCATTAAGTTAGTCTTCCCCGGCCTTCAGCATAAAGTTGGTTTCCCCTTTGGCCATCAACATAAAGTTGGTCCAGCCCCGAGTATCTTGGCCTTTAGTATACAGTTCCCTACAACACACCAACATCCTATTATGTAGAGCATCCATATTGTACTACAAAGTATAATGAGAAAACTCACCTGAGCTATCTAGCAGAAGCTCAACAGCAGACCTCAGCAACGGAACATCTAACGCAAGTTACATAGTGCCAAACCAAGACCAGTCCTTAGTCAAATACTCAATTCTACCCAAGTTTGACCAAATGTCAAACATGTCAAAAGTCAACGGTCAATGTTCAAAGGCAACACTAACCACCGTGTCGCGGCTAATCCCTCTGATCATGTTGTAGTCACTGAAGGAAAAAAAATAGACGTGGGACTTGCAGTCCACCACATCGTGGTTAGCACCTCACCGCACCAGGACTAAATTGATGTGTTCAATTAATATTCTAATGACGTCATCATAAATCAAGAAATCGGGAAACAGAATTTTGGGCAATAAGATTGATTACAATCCATGTCTCATGTCCATATGATATCTTGAAAAATGAAGGAATATTTGATCACTTATCTTAAGGCCAATGTCTGATTTGATCAAAGTTCAACAGTTGCTTTGGAAAGCACATAGTTATGTTTGATTAAAAGTTATACTTGCAATAGTAGTTATAGACTTATCCAAGTGGTTATGGACATCATTTAAGGACTAGATCTAGATTTTGGACGAAAGAACTTAAGTAATTAAGCTCTTAATAGAAGGGAAAGGAGGCAGCTACATACGTTGGGCGTACCCCAGGTACGTTGCACATACGATGTCAACGACCCCGTTTCTGGTCAAGACTCGATTACGCAAAGCATACAAGTTGAGTATGTTGGGCGTACTCAGCTGAGTTGACTCGGTTGACTTTTTGACTTTTGACTAGGATTTGGCTAAGTTTGACCTAGGGGTATTTTGGGTATTTTGATTATAATTTAAGTTTGGTCATGTTCCAATGAATAGGTGACCGGTAGAGCTGATATTCGAAGCAGTGTCCTGTTCAGTAATCTTTTTAGATTGAGAGGTGAGTTTTTCCTCATTGTACTTGTGGGTCGAAGGCACCAATGTCGACCCACTGAGTTATGTATCCCGGTTAGAGGATGTTGCTATGTTGTAGTGATCTGTTAGATTTGTGTCCTGGTATATAGGATGTTGTTATGTTGTAGTAATCTGTAGATCTGCATGTTTGTTTGTTGACTGGTTATATGATTATCTGTTGATGGATATATGTTATTTGTTATGTATATGTCGACATGCTATGGTGGGGTTGAGACTCTAATGCTTTGTGTTATCTGTCAACAAACTGGGGCATTCAAACTTGAAGGGGTAATCCAACCAGAAGGTTGTGGACCCAGCATGTATTAAGCACTCCAACCGAAAGGTTGTGGTCCGAGGAATTCCAACCGAAAGGTTGTGGGCCACGGGTAATCCAACCAGGATATTGTGGACCCAGTATATGTTTAGTTATATGTTTGTGTAGTGGTACTTTGGGAGAACTCACTAAGCTTTGGCTTATAGTTTTAGTTTATTATTTCAGGTACTTCATATGATCGTGGCAAGGCGAAGGCATGATCGTGCACATCCTTCAGATTTTATGTTATTTGGATTTTGGGGTACTCTGATTATTGATTATCACTTTTGAAACAATGTTTTGTACACAATTATGGTTATTTGGTTGTTTTTGAAAAATGAAAATTTTACTCTGGTTTTGGGATGTTACAAGTGATGGGTTTTGGTATACTACAACATCCTATGGTGCACATACAACCCTAAATGCTTTGGATCTATGT